CCAGGAGCACAGGCTGACTGTCTGGCATTCACATCTGGCCCGGAAATGAGCTCCAAGTTCAGGTCTCTCAAAATCCAGATGTCAGCGCCTCCCTCAGCAATAGGGCTCCTGGATTCTGGGGCCAAAGATCCATGGGCAATGGGGTCCCCTTCATTTCCTTCTGGGCTCACGCTCCACACGGGGCCCTGATCAGGTGCCTTAGGCCAGTCCTGCCCCTCTGGAGCCATGGCACAGCCCCTCCACCCAACCTTTCTGTTCATTAACACTTTTATTACCCGAGTACAACAGGCATGAATGTTCAGTTGCACTCAAGACAGAGTGGCAAGAAATGCCCTAACTTTATTTTTCTAAGTCTGAGAGAATTGCAAGAAGCTCCCCAGCCTGAGATGAGCTCCTGTCCAGCTTCCACCATCCGCCAGTGGGAGGAAGCCCCATCTCCCTTCCAAGTCTGAGCACTTTCAGGGAATGCCACCTCCATCGGGGACAACCCAACTCCTTCTCTCAACCGGGCCAGCACTGTTAAAGGCCTCGGCCCTCAGGGAGCCCCCGAAACACTGAACGTTGTTACCCTAGAACAGGAGCCCGGCTGCACAGTCTGTGCAGAGAAGGGAAGACCATCCCTTCATTTTATCGCTTGTGCATCTGCTCCCACAAACAATTACAGAGTAACTTCTGTACTAAATTATTCATGTTTCGCTGCCATATATGGAAATATCATTCTGTAGTTTGCTTTTCTCCTTAGACTTCTTTCCAATCGATAAATATAGATCCACTCCATCATTCTCAATGGTCACATAGCACTTAATTGTTTGGATGGACCTGAGTTTACTTAGCACAGTCCCCCATTAATGGTGGCTTCTATGTTTTCAGAGTCACGAGCAGTGCCCAGGTAAACGCTGCCACACATACACCTTGTGCATTGGATTGTTTTCTTTGGATAAATTCCTAGAAGCTGAATTGTGGGGCCAAGGGATAGCTCCATTTATAAGATTTATTTCCCTTCAGTCCACTCCCAGAAGGGTTGTACCAACGTAGCAACATGGGGGTGGAGGCTCCCTCACCAACGCCAAGTCGTAGGGCCATCTCTTCTGCCCTCCAAGCTCCAGAACTCAGCTCTCCCTCCTGACACCTGGGGCCCTCCCTCCCCACACCTGGGGGCCTCCCTCCCCATCCAGAGAGAACCTGTCTAGGTGACTGTTTTCATCCCCAGGTGTAATCTGGCCCCAGCTTGCCATTTCTTCCTTTCAAAAGCCTCGAGCTCAACCCCTGGTTTCTGCCAACAGTAAATGGGAAGCAAGTGGGCAGTCTGGGAGAAGGCACCTCCATGAGATCCTGCCCGAGTCCAGGCTTTGCATTCTCCACCCAAGCCCCCCCTGGCCAAGGGACAACTGTACCCACGTCACAGCTTTGCCACATCTAGCTTCCTTACGGAAGGATGTTTGTCTCGGGAAAAGGGAGCAACTGAGAAGCCAGTCCTCTGGGGCAGTGTGCGAAGCTGGATTCAGCAACCAAGCCGAGTGCCCAAGACTCGATGATCCTCGGGTGGCACGCCCCACACGGCTAGCCCATCTCACGCTCAAAATCTCCAGTGGCTGCTGGACTCGCCGCTAGACTCGGCCACCTCTAGAATGGGACGAGGTTGACGTGGCCACAGGATGCCTCCTCCTTTCCTTTAAACTGCAGTAAAATATTCTTAGTCTGTTCGGGCTGCTCTAATAAAAATACCATAGCCTGGATGGCTATCAACAACAGAAATGTGTTTCTCACAGTTCTGGAGGCTGGGATGTCCAAGATCAAGGCACAAGCAGATACGGTGTCTGGTGAGAGCCTGCTTCCTGGTTCACAGCCTGTGCCTTCTCTCTATAGCCTCACGTGGCAGACGGGATGAGGGAGCTCTCTGGGGTCTTTTATAAGGGCACTAATCCCATTCTTGAGGGCTCCACCCTCATGACCTAGTCACCTCCCAAAATGCCCACCTCCCAATACCAGCACGTTGGGAATTAGGTTTCAACATATGAATTTTGGGGGAGATATCATCAGTCAACAGCATATATGTAACATAAAATTGATCATTTTAACAATTTTTTTTTATAATACAGAATTTAAACTTTTTTTTTTTTGAGGAAGATTAGCCTTGAGCTAACTACTGCCAGTCCTCCTCTTTTTTTTTTTTTCAAAGATTTTATTTTTCTCCTTTTTCTCCGCAAAGCTCCCAGATACATAGTTGTATATTTCGTTGTGGGTCCTTCTAGTTGTGGCATGTGGGATGCCGCCTCAGCGTGGTCCGATGAGCAGTGCCATGTCTGTGCCCAGGATTCGAACCAAAGAAACACAGTGGCCTGGGGCTCAGATCTGACCTGTGAACAGAAGACTCTGGTTCTTTGGACGCAGTGCTGCCTTACAGAGCATTGTGAGCTGTAGGATCTGCGTTAAGGGGAGCCCCCTTCCCTCCCCAAAGATGCGCCTGGCTGCACAGCTGCGTACAGGCTAGCATGCGCAACACACCTGACATGAGCCTATGAGACGCCAGAATGCCTGGGTTCAAATCCTACTGCTGCCCCTTCCTGGTTCTGTGACCTTGAGCAAATTGACTTAGCTGCTCTGTGCCTCAATTTGTCCATCTGTGTAATGGGGATAACAGTACCTGTTTCATAGGGTTGTTATGAAGGTCAAATGAGTTACTTATAAAACACTGAGAACATACCTGGCTCATCCTAAGCATTATATGTGTTACAAATGTTTGTTCAATTTTTTGAAATACATGTGGGCACACGTGCTGACATGACCACACACACTGCCATGCATGTATTACCCACGTAGACACATGCCCGTGCCGGGTATACTGGGGATCCTCCTGGTTCCTCTTCGAGGGCACAGCTCTGGGGCTTAACTGTGTGGCAGTTGGGTGGGTGAACCTCAGGGTAAGTGACCGCTCCTCTTCTGGGATGCCCAGGACCTCACCAGTGGTGTTTCCCCATCATTCCCCCCCACCCCCCTGCATCACCTGAGCCCAGGTGTTTGGAATGGCTACCTTGGGGAGGGAGGGGGCTCGAACCCCCTTGGTAGGCTCCAAGGGGCCAGGAAGGGAAGAAGGTAGATGGAAGGGGGCCAAAGACAGGCTCCTGGGGTTGGGCATTTCTTTGAGAATTGCTGTCTCTAGTCTCTCCCGTGTCACACGGGACCCAGACCAAGTCTGAGCCAGGCAGAGCCCAGAAGTCGTGAGTGTGGATTGGATGGGCTCCAGACCCCCACACTTTGTACCTCTTTTCCATGGAAGAATGTGACCTGGCTGCCAAATCACTGCCCCACAGGTGTCCTTTGGAGGCCGGGCCATGGTGCCCGGGGAGGTGGGTGTGGGTGGAGGTCTGTGGGTGGGACCTCCCCAGGTGAGAGTGTCTGCTGCTGGTGACAGAGCAGCTGTGTGTGGGGAGGGTGGGGGAGTGGTCAAGGAGGTGAGAAGATCGGCAAGTGCTAGGTGCCACCAAGTCTCCCCACACCCCCAGGCTCCCCGCCTCTTGTTTCTTCCAGGAGGTGGGACTTCAGACGTTCCTAGGGGCCGATTTCTCCTTGGAACTGAAGTTCTTACCCGGTCAGGAAATGAGGTTGGTCTGGCTGAGCGGCTTGTGCCAGCCAAGCCTCATTTCCCTCTCTGGCGGAGTCCCCAGGCAGGACATGTGGCTGCTGCCTTCCTCTGGGCTCCTGGACCTGCATCCAGGCTGTGAGGCAGAGGAACCTGCAGGGCACGGTTGTCCCAGGGAGTGATGAACAGGAAGCTGGAGGACTGTGGCACTCCAAGGACAGCTGCGCTCGAGCAAGATGGGTGCCAGGTCACCAGCAAGGGGTTTGGAGAAGATGGCCAAGAAGAAGCCATACAGACAATGATCATTACTTCTGGCTCTCTCTGCCTTCCTACTTGCTCTGTGACTCTAGGCAAGTCGATTTCCCTCTCTGAGCCTGAGTTTACTCTTCTGTTTGATGACTTGCTCTCAGAATCCGGCCTTGGGCTCCCCATCATTCTGCCCTTCCCTCAAGCCTGAGGCCACTAGGGAGCCGTCCAGCAGTCACAGGGATAGGCAGAGACAGCCAGATGGCCCTGGGGGGCGCTACCAGGGGTTGCCCTTCCTGCTCCTGTTTCCCACCAGGTCCCACCAGTCCCACCGGTCCCACCGGTCCCACATTCGCAGCTCCATCCTAACAGGGCCAGTGGCCCCCGGAGCCCGGACAGCAGGGGCGACCTCTCCTGCCCCCTGGGTTCCTCTGGCCCACTTCTTCCAGATGCCAATTCAGTCCAACCAGCACGTACGAGGCTGCTGGTGCTGACCCCCGGGGCACTGAGGTGGGGGCGCCCAGGGCACCTACTGTCTCAAGTCTTTAGGTCACAACTAAGACCCTTTGGAACAGGGGGTTAAATGTCCTGGGGCTGACAAGAAACCTTATTTTGGATAATACTGTTTGAGTTACCCTATGAACACCTTGTATAAATGCCTCTGAGAACGCTCAGAATGATCCTGGCATTTGTTGAAAACAGCAGAGTGTGGCCAGAGAACTCTGTGGAAGGGTCTTTGAAGTGGTGCTGGCTACCACGTGGTGAGTACCTGTGACATATCACTTTTTTTAACTTAATGAATTTTTTAATTTAATTTTTTAATTTTTTTAAAATTTCATTTTATTGAGGCCATACTGGTTTATAACACTGTGAATTTCAGGTGACATCACATCTTTCAAGCCTCAAAAAGGCTCAATGTGTTATTATTCCCATGTGACAGGTAAGAAAATAAGGCCCAGATGGGAAATGGCTGACCCCAGGGGGGCGTGTGGAACACAGCCAGGCGAGATGCCACCTCCTCCCCCCCCCCCCCAGTGCCCCCAAGGCCACCCCCTGAGCGAGGCAGGCCCGGAGCCAGACCTCTGTTCTCCTCAGATCCTCCCCACAGGCAGCCCCGTCACTGCCCCCCGGCTCTGGAGGAGCCCGAACCCCCTAAATCAGAAGAGAAACCACGTGCAGTTACAAAGATAAGGTCATTTATTCACCTTCCAGTTATATCACTGGATTTTAAAGGCAAAAATACAGTTCTGTTTGGAACACTAAGGTCAGACATCCCCCCCCTTTACAATTGTAAATACATACATTTGAATAAATGGGAAATCAAAATAACACAGCACAACAGGTCTCTGGGACAGGAAAACAGCCATCCTGGCTGTGCCCGGCCCTGAGGTCAGCAGAGCCCCTGCCAGGCTGAGCCAGCACCAGGACATCCTTTACCCTCCTGTGCCACCTCTGCCCTCTACTCGTTCCCAAAAGCCTCTTTACAGGGGCACCAGCAACGGGACGGAGAGAAAGAGAGAAAGACACTGCACGTGACAACTTCATGGTGACAACTTCCAGGTAAAGGAAACGCTCCCTGAACCCTCAGCCCAGAACCGCCCAGGGAGGGGAGAGGACCTGGAGCATCTCACGAGCCCGGCAGGCGTCGAGGCCTCGCCCTGGGCCCAGGCGGCCCCTGAGAGCACCACAAGGTCAGCAAATGGCACACCAGTGAAGCAGGATTGCCCTTGGTTCTGAGAAGGAACCACATACTTAACTATTCCAATGGAACATGAAGGAAACGTGACAGGAAACCAAAAAAAAGTCAGAATTTTGTTTTAAGAATAAAGTAAGTAACAAAGAAGTTACCACCTAGGGTATTCGTCTGCTTTCTTTTAAGGCACTTTGGAAAAGTCAGGATCTGGGGACAGAAAGAGAGGCCGTCATTCTTTGTATTTCCTAGAACTCCCTCCCCGGGCGATCCTTCTTAGTTTTATTAACATCGCTATGAAGGAGTGGGGCGCTGACAGAGGGAATACTCTTTGCATAGCCCAGCTGCTACTGCAGTGGAAAATAATTTTTAACCAATACCAAGGCTTCTGGAAAAAGAATCAAGTTAGGATCTGAGATGCTCAGAGCGATAAAGGCACAGGTGACACTGGGGCTGGGCAGTAGCTCAGCTTCCACGCTGACACCTGCTTCCCAGGAGGGCAGTGGTGGGGTCCGGGCTGCCACCAGCTGAAAGGTCAGCCCTGGGATCAGACAGGTGAATCTTCCATCTTAGCCCAGGTTGAAGCCGGCAGGGGCGCCCAGGGCTAAGAACTGGTGCACCCATCTCACCCCAGGCAGTCCACACCTCGCCCCGCAGAGGTGGGTTTGGGGAAGGCACGCCTGGGCAGCCTCCCAGGAGTGGAAGCACCTGCTGCAAACCTGAGGGGGAATGGGAGGCCTCAGGCACCAGAGTGGTCCTCGGGGAGTGTAGGGGGTTCAGCTGAACTTCTTTCTAGATCTCTAATTAAAAGGCACATTCCTGCTGGAAAATGAATAATCTATTTGACCCTCAGTGCCATAGGCAAGTTTTAGGGAACAGGCAAGAGGCCAAGGAACTGAAATGGGGAGGGAGGAAGGGGAGAAGAGGGAGAGCAGGTCCTGCAAGGTGGGCCGGGCAGCGCGGCCAGCAGAGCCGAGCGGGGGCCAGGGCTCCAGGGGCCAGAACGAGGCTCTCTCCGCCTCCCCAGGCTGAGGGCCAGTAAACAACCTGAGTGCTATCACTTACAACCCCCCAGCCTAGGGCCCTGAAGGGAGGTCCCAGCGTCAGTCCGGGAGGCGGCGGTTCCCTCTGCCCTGCCCGCCTGGGGAGGGTTGGGAGGGGGAGAGCTCTGGCCAGCAGGCTGGGGCCCCAGTGTCCCCAGAGGTCCGACAGGGCAGGGTACTGCCGGCCTGACCAGAAGCCTTGCCCTCATCAAAGGGCCCAAAGGAGACTTTGCTCTTCACAAAACCTAACCTGCCAGCTACATTAGAGGCCCGTTAGTGGCCGTTACAGCATACAGTATTTTTTCCCCTAAAAAGTGTTCAGTCCCCTGCCCACATTTAAAACACCACAATAAAAATACATAGGAAATTCAAGTTTACATAGCATGCTCAGAACAATAAATTGCCATGACTTAAGACTAAATAGCTATGTAAATCTGGATCAACAGAAAATCAAGCTAGGTCATAATTAGAACCTGATTTGTTCTTTCTTTAAAATACTACAAACTGCTATTTTAAAAAAGTCTTTACATTCAGAAATCAGACAATTTGGAGAAAGGCCACTAAATGTGAGAACACCCGAGGCTTATGCTCTGATGGCTAAAGTTGCCCGGGAATTCCCACATTAGCTGGACCAAAGGTCTAAGGCTCAAGTTTTAAAATTCTTTTGCTGAGAAAAGACACACACACACACAGTGACTCAGTGATTGTAATAGCCGCATACCACTGAAAGAAGGTAGGGGAGGGGGTGAAATGAGAATGGTTGACATCGTGTGTTTTTCCGTTAAAATGTGACGACCAAAAAACATCACAACAATCCAATTCAGCAGCACTCTCCAATTTTTCATAAAGTAACAAGAATACCACAATTTAAAGCAAAATTCTTACCTATTTCACAACAGATTAGCAGTTTACCGCTGGGAAGGAGTCCCACAGTCACCAAATTTGGGGCTGTGTACAGCTCTGATTCTTTGGGGAGACACCGGGAACACACTGAGAACCCCCCAAAGGCTGATGTTTCCTACACTGACAAACACCTTGCAGAGCTAAGAAGTCACATGCCGAGCCAAGTTGGGGGCCAAATATGCCGCTAGTTCCGGTCATCTGGAAAGGCATCTGAATGATGAGCTGGGAAGCCCTATCACTCTGACTGGGAAGAATGAGAGCGACCAGCCCAGCAGACTGACAGAGACACGTAGTAGAGGTCCCCGGCCATTTTCAGGTCTCTTTTAGTGTACCACAATGCTAGCTCGGTGTGCCGATGTCCACTGTGACTTTGGTATACAACGGGTATCTCTGTACGTCCAATACGTTGTAGAAAAGTGTGTTCAAACCATCAAGGAACATTGTCTCCTTTGTGTGTGCGATTCGGTCAAACCTACAAGCCACAAAAAGGCAAAGGGTTGGTGTCAAAACAAAAATCTTAAGAAAAAACATTAAATGTCTGTACTTCATTGCCCACCCCCCTACCTTCTACTCTCCCCTGCCCCATGGACTGACCCCTTCCCCGCTCCCCGCTCAGGCCCGGAGATTGAGGTCTCCAGAGCCTGGTTCCTGCAGCCCACCCCCTCCTCAATGCGGAAGAGGGATGTGAACGAGAGCAGGACGCACCTCTGAGGATTGGGCTCGTTTTTCTTGTCTCTCGAATGTCGGATCATGCGGCACTTCCCGATCACAGCATTTGGGCGAGATAGAGACATGCCTTTAAAAACCAACCTGCAAGGAGTGAAGGGACAAGTCAGCATCACAGAGCTGCCACCAGCTTGGGTCCCAGAGCCCCAGCTGCCAGACTGTGCCCATCCACCATCCTGCCGATTGGTCTCCCTCGGCCCAGACCGCAGCCTGGAGTGGCCCTGGTTTCAACTCCAGCCCCCGTGTCCTTTTAGCAATGGTTCTGCAGTCTGTGTTGGTGACGATTCCGTGTCAGGCTCTCGGGGCATCTGCCCTCACAGAATGTACAGTGTGGAAGCTTAGAATGTAGGGTCATCAGTGCCAGGACGGAGGTGAGGAGGGGAAGCTGGGGTTGTGGGGCACAGAGGGGAAGCAACTAACTCCACTTGAGCAAGACCAGGCAGAGCCGAGCTGTGAAGATGAAGGGATGTCTGCCAGAGGATTTCAGGCAGCAGGACAGCACAGGCAAAGGTAGGGAGGCGAGAGTGCGCACAGCGCCCTCAGGGGACAACACAAGCTTCCGGGGATGATGAAGAGGGTCTGAGGTAGGAAGTGGCTAGAGATGAGGCTGGAAAGAAGGGCAAAGGCTACATCATGGGGGGCTTCTCAGAGCTTTTAGCATCCCACCCAGCAGTGCCGGTGTCTGAAAGGGATAAAATACGCAGTGTTTCCCAAAGGTTTTTGGCCAACGGGAAGTCTCTCTGACAAGCAGTGTAAAAATGGAGAGCAGGGAACAAGACCAGAGTCAGCCAGAGCAGGGTGGAAGATTCTGCATAGGTCTTGGGGGCAGGAAAAAGCCCAAAACTAAAGCCTTGACAGCAGGAATACAATAGTTACTTAAGAGGCAGGACTGGCTGGTCCTGGGCGACTTCAAAGTTTCTGGCCTCACTCCCCTGCAGCCCCAGTGCTGATCTGGTGGCTGGCATAGTGAGTAGGTACAGAGCAAGAGTTAAGCCCTTTATCTTTCCAGAAAGCCGCTCCCCAAACCACGCATCCTTCTAGTCCCTCCACCTTCAGGTATCTGTCTCAGTGCTCCCTCCCCACAATCTTTCCGACCATTCAGGTCTGTGATGTCACACCAGCCCCGGACACCATCACACGGGCCCAGTGTTTGCCAGCTGTGGTGCTGTGGAAGCAAGCGAGCATCTGTCGGGACCCCCTGTCCAGGGCTTCAGTGTCCCCCCATTGGACCTGCCTGGCACAGTGCTTTGCACGCAGCACATGCTCACTAAGCTCATGCTGGATAAGCAATCTGCATACTCATAGAACCCAAGTTTTATCACAGAAGCTAATTGTCCTAAAGCCATCTTCAGACCTATACCAGGGCACACCTAAGAATCCGGGGGAATGGGGGCCGTACCCCTCCCGAGGGTCAATCCTTGACGAATAACCAAGCACTGATCGGAAGACTGGAAGGGAAGGGAGACAGGGAAGAAGGAGATCAAAGTTGAGACCGTTACCTGTTAAAAATGTCGTCGTCTTCGCCTCCCCAGCCCCAGTAGTTATTAGGAAATCCATTGATGGTGAGAAACTGTTCTTTACTTAGAGCAGAGACACCTCCAAAATACTGAACATAAGGGAGGCTGGGGAAAGACACACACACAGGACCTGGGGTTAGCAGGTTGTGACTTTTCAAAACAAAGCTTGCTCAAAACATAAACACTTCTAAAAGTGATTTTTATTCTCTGGAACTTTTTTTTTTTAAAGACTTTTCCTCTTTTTTGTTTTAAAGATTGGCCCCTGAGCTAACATCTGTTGCCAATCTTCTTTTTTTTTCTTTTCCTTCTCCCCAAAGCCTCCCCGCCCCCAGTACATAGTTGTATATTTTAGTTGTGGGTCCTTCTAGTTGTGGCATGTGGGATGCCACCTCAGCGTGGCCTGATGAGGGGTGCCGTGTCCATGCCAGGATCTGAACTAGCGAAACCCTGGGCCGCAGAAGTGGAGCGAGTGAACTTAACCACTCGGCCACGGGGCCGGCCCTTCTCTGGAACTTTTTAATTGGAGATTTATGAAGGTTTTCTTTGTTTGGTTTTTATATCAGACTCAGATTATCTTAAAGAAGACACAGACATCAAAAAGTAGAATCTTCACCTCTCTAAGAACCCTGTGTTGCTTCTGCGGTTATCTAGAAAATCAGTCAGTGAGAAGAGCATACACCAGTCTTTCCGCACCGCCCCGGAATCTGCTTGTCCTGTGCCCTGCTCCTGCACACGAAGCCCTTCTCCGGGGGTCCTGGAAACCCAGATTGTTTAGAGTCTCCCTGTGCCCACCCTCCCCTCCCCCATCCCATCTACTAGCCTAGCTTTCATTCTTCCAGAGGTATATTGGCTTGAACACTGACCCCAACAGTCAAGACAGCATTTCTGAAAATTTGCTAAAATAAAATTTTCTTGGCAATATCTACCATATCCTGACTTAGCAAAATGTATGATGGTGAATCTATTTTGACTGATTTTCAAGCAGTAGGGCATCTGGGCTCTCTCATCCTTCCAAACCTTCTGTGTTTCGACATTTCAGTGGTTATGAATCGTGGACTCCCGAGGGATGCAGAGGAAGCATGATGAGAAATGTTAAGAATCAGGATGTGTCCAGAGGCCAGGCAAAGGCCTTCCTGTGGGTCCTCTAAAGGCTGTGGTTTTGTGATCATGCTGAGTACAGCTCCAAAAACCACACTCAGGCTCTTGCTGGAACCCAAAGAGAACAAAACCCGTCACACAAATTAGGGCAAACTCTAACTCAGACTTCGAGGGGGACGTCAGCCAAACCATACAGAACATAGGAAACAAAGATGCAATTATTATTTTCCAATACATTCAGGAATTCTGATGGCAGGTATCCCTAAGCAAAGATCCCTAGTGGCCTTACTTCAATGACCTAAAGGGAATCTAACGGTAATCAGGTGTCACCATTTAGGCACCAAGTCATCCACCCTTCGGCGTACCTCACACTACAATCTGCACTTGTGATGTGAGGGTTTGGACCAGAGGTGGCCAGGCCAGTAAGGTTTTTTCATAGTAAGGTTCTTAGAGAAATGGACTCTTAGCCATTCAAGGGCAACAACATGCCGAGTGGACAAGATCTGGTTTTGCCGTCTCTGCTGGTTTCTCTTACCTACCTGCCCCGTCCTCCAAGCCTAACTGGTTCTGGGTAAAACAGACATGGTGCTGTGGTAGAGAATTAGGTGGTCACCATCACACTCCAAGGCAGGAATGAAGAGAGGTCAGGGCATGAGCCTGTCCCCAAAGGGAAGAGACACAAACAGGGAGCAGGGGAAGTAGGTGGGTGCAGGCGCAGAGTGACGTGTACAGTCAAATTTCCCGTTTAAGACAGCAAGTTCAGGGCCCGAGTACAGCTGATCTTGGGGAAGGACTTCATAGCATCCCTGTATTCATCTCACAGCCCTCAGACTCCCAGCAACGGACGATAGAAAGAAATCATGAGAATAAAATGAGCCCGAAAGAAAGTAGTTGTATCTACAGCAAAGGACTGCTGGCTAGCCCCAGACCGCCACACTGTGGGACAGCCTACACCAGGGCGCCCAGGACACAGGGTACCTGGCACACAGTTTCCTGGTGCTTTGGGTGACTTAGAGCACCAAGGGAAAGGTCAGATTAGTCCACTGACAGGTGATTTAAAACAATTTTATGTTAATACAAATGGATAAACTATAGAACAAAACGCAAACATTATTTTTTTTTAAGATTAAAAAAATGGTCTACAAGGCCATTTTCCACCTAGGACAATATGCTTTGGATTATTCTGCTGTCCCTGGGGAGAGGCGTCAGCTAGCCTCCTCACTAGGGGCATTTTGGTGGAAAAGTTTAGGCCCTAATGTTCAAGCAGAAGCTTGTGCTCTGCTGACAAACAGAATCATGTTCCTTCTTAAAGTGCCAAGGAACTCTTGCCAAGGTATCCAAACCCAAGAATCTACTGGGGGAAAATGATTTCAATTTGCTTCCCAAACTGGATGGGGAAGGGGAGAGAAACGAAAGTGAGGAAATCCAGCATCTATTTGGAGCCTGAAGATGAGAGCCACCCCAAACCTAAAAGCTTCTCTTGCCTGGATGTGCAGAGGTATAGGCGTTTCTGGACTCCACTTTCTTCCTCAAATAATAACTGAATTTGGGCTTAAAAAGCACCCAGTTCTCAGAGGGGGCATTCTCCTTCAGAGCCTAAGGACGCACTCCCAGGCAGGAGGAATAGCGTTTCCCAGTCGTCATGTAAGAGACAAACATGTTTTCTGCACATCCTGGTGAACCTCTCTTACCTAAATCCAAACTTATCCATTGCTACAGAAATGTGCCGAGGCTGCGAAAAACACCTGTAGGCGTTATGGTCGTTCATGGGAATGAGGTCCACGTCGCTAAACACGAAGCAGTTGTAGTCGTAGTCCTTCAAGGCCTCTTGGAAGCCCACGTTGAGGAGCTTAGCACGATTGAACATGGCTTCTCCAGCCTGGCGCAGAAACAAAAGCAGCAATATCAGACGCCAGAAGGCCTTTGAGCAGAATACTCACAGGGACCGGTGACCTGTCCACTACATGTGGACATTAGTCCATTCTTGGGCCTCATTTTTCTGCCCTCACTTTAAAATTCAATGCCAAATGGTATGCCCTGAGTCAGCAATCCCACTTCTAGGAATTATCCTGTAGGACTTGCAAATGTGTGAATGGCACATGAACAACGTTGTTCATCATGCAGTGTTCATCACAGCTAAAGGATACAAACAACACCACAGCATCCCTATATAATGCAATAGAGCTCATATAATAGAATAGGGCTCTTTAAAAAAATAAGGAAGCTTTAAAAGGAAATGATCTTCAAGATAGTATTGTTAGGTAAAAAGGCATTTACACATATGTGCCATTTATTTACATACTATAAGTAGACTAATTTCGGGAAAGACACCCAAGAAACTGGTGCCTATAGCACTTTCCACTTCTACCCTCTTTGTATGATTGACCATGGTTTGATCATCACATTGTGTACCTTTCAGGTGTCTGCCACTAAACTAGACACCAGAGCAATGTGGTGGACCCGTCAACCTACGCCCTCACAGTGCTCCCAATGTCGGGTGAGAAGCAGAGTGACACACATCATGAGAGAAACAAGGTGTAAGAGAGAGAGGACTACACCTGCTTCAGGATGCCAACCACTCGGTCCCGAAGAACCAAGTTTGTTGGTGCAAAAGTGCTTCATATTTTATTCACTTATCTTGTTTATTTTCAGTCTCCTCACTAGAATCTAAGCTCAAGAAAGGCTGGAATTTTTTATGTTTTATTCACCAAGTACCAAGAACACTGCCTGGCATATAATAAGAGCTCAATAAATAACTGCTGGATGGATGGTGGGATGGATGGATGGATGAGTGGACTGATGGATACATTTCAACATACAACGGCAGACTGCAATTCTTTTGGGAAGCTCCATTCAAAGGAGCTCCTCAGGGTCACCACCATGGGTCTCTGCTCTTACCAACTCCCCTGGCCCCAGGTTAGTAAGGACAGTAACAGCACCCTTACACTTATCAGTTCACAAGCCCTTCCACACATGTGCGTTCATTCTAACCAGAATCCTCCCAACAATGTCATGAAGAAACTAAGGCCACATAAGTGACACAGCTGGGACTAGAGCACAACACTCTGGAATCCTCATTTAGTGTTCTTTCTCAGTACCTCTTGGGATCAACAAGATCAGGGCCCTCTACTTGGGGGAAAAAGTATCCCACAAGGCCCTGCAACCACTACACAAGCTCAAAAGTGGGATACCCCACATCCTCTCTCCAGGCCGCTGGGAGAAGACTTGGGTACTGGGCTCCACAAGGCTGCCTGTGTGAGTTCAGAGCACAGACAGCACCACAGCTGCCCAGCCTCGGGCGGGTGACTCAGGGAAACAAACCACTGAAGAAAGACAAGTACCAGGAAGTCAGAGAAGACAGCCAAGAGAAGAGTAACCAAATTAAGGAAACTCTTATGCAAGAGCTCCTTTCTTCAGTCCATGACAAAGCTTTCCATCCACGCAGGGTCAAAGGAGAAGGCCACACCCAGGGGCACACACTGTGTTCTTTAGCTGTTCCACCAGTTAAGAGGCACTTAGAATTCTGCCTTCAGCTAATTCTGTGAAAGTCGTGAGGCAAAAAGTAGTTCCAAGTTTAAAAACTGCATATGAAAACTATGAAGTTGCTGTAATTGTCATTATTACCACATATTCATTTGGGGGATATGAGATACCAGGCACAAGATAAGTGTTTTACACGTTTGGCTTGTCATTTAATCATCACAACAATCTTGTAACAACCTTCACCCCAACCCAGATTTGCTTCATTCCTCCCACACCTTCTTCCCTCCCTGTGATGGGGAGAGAAGCCTGCACCTGTAGATGGAAAGCACCTGCAGGTCCGTGAAGACCCTAAAAGAGCTAGCTCTCAGCATTTTCAAACACAATTCAGCCCACTGAACACTCTTGCAACAAGTGAAAGGGCAGTGTCCCAACAAAGCCTTTTCACACCTGTGTAGTGGATCCCTGCGGGCGGCTGCCCAATGCTCCCTTCTCTCGGTACACTCCCCAGTAACAGGGGCAAAGGGCTCTTGGTGGCCACGTCTGAACCACAGGACCTGGCCTGCTGGCCGCAACAGATGGAAGCAGATGCTTGACTGAGACCACACTAAGCATTCTTCTTCTCCCAGGAACTGGATATTTGGAACCATGAACAGGCACCTCTGGAGCCAAGCCCCAAGAACAAGAGCAGCCTGGGGGAGAAACCCAAGGAGCACACTCGTTCTCCCCTTTTCCCACGTGTGGTACAGCAGCTCCTTCAACTCAATAAGGCGCTCCAGTGTCTAGCCCACACTTACAAGTAGTCGGGCAGTTTTCCAAAGTAACCTGAACCATATATCACTCCTCCCATACTTCCTCCAAGCCCGGCCTCACCTGCATGACCCTGGGAGAGGGGGAGGGCAAGGCACACTTTCACAGGTGTTATTACCTACCAGTCCCCCAGGACACCAGAACGGTAGATAAGGAAAGTATGTGTCTTCCTCTCTCCCCTGGGATTACAGAACAGTCGCTTCTAGGCTTCTTTGGGTGAAATGGCATAATACCTTGGGTAACTTTCTTGATAAGAAAGACAGGCCCTGGCAAGTCCATCAGCTGCCACCACTAACAGGAGGTGCTCATTCCTGTGCAGGGGGCGGGAAGATACCCAGCCCTCATTCCTGCCCCTCCTCCTTGGGCACATTCATCCAGTGCATCTGCTATTTCATTCACTCACGTGGATATTTATCAAGCACCTACCATCCGGCCAAGCCACATACGCATTTGTGACAGACACGTGCATTTTTATCCCAGGAATGCCAGCTGCTTCACTTATTAGCTATGTGACTTTGGGCAAATCACACCTCTGGCCTCAGTTTCCTCATTTGGTCATGGGGATGACAACAGGCTGAGTTGTACTAAATGAGACAATGCATGAAAAGGCCTTAGCACACTGCCTGGCAACAAATGTCAGCTACCATAACTGTGACAAGAGCAGGTTTTCCCACCCATCTTGAAGGTCAGAGATCCAACTTGGAGACTTCTCCTTCCCTAGTGTTTGTGAGTGTCCTCCCCAAACAGCTTCAAGATTCCTCCCAAATCCTGCTTCTCTGATGGTGGGGGAGTTTCTAAAAAGGATTAAGTTTTAAGTGAGTTAGCCTGTGGCTCACATGATTAGAGTCTCAATAGCAGCAGAGGAGAGAGAGACCTTAGACATGTGTGAAATGCTTGGGGAGTCCCCCTCGGTGAAGAGGAGCTGTGCAATGGGAGCCAGTGAAAGGCCAAGTTTTTCAAGTGCTGGCTCCATCTTATGTTGGTAGATGACAGTCAGACTTCTCCCTTCCTTCTAGAGCATTTGGCTCCTCTTGCGGGAAAGGACAGGAAGAAAGAAGGCAGGCCAAAAACGACGTGATATTCCCATAGGTGGACAAGGCAGCTATCCCACTGACCAAAGCTCACAGAAAAGCCTGTAAACCCTTTATGATTGTGCATACAATTCTGAGAGTGGGTGCGTCAGTCAGTCAAGCAGAGCCAACGATGGCCAGTCCAGAAAGGACAGGAGCCTGGGCTTGGTCAGGCATGCTGGCCTGGGGTCAAATGAGGAGACCTGAGGTGGGAGGCATAGCACAGACATGAAGGCAAAGCTCCCTAGAGGAGAGAAAAGAAGAAAGAAGCTGCCCCCAGATACTTCCCACAGCAAACTCGGTGCCCTTCTGGCAGATCTGGGTGGCAGAGACAAATGTCTTAAGCATCAGGTGGCTCTCCAGGGCTCTCAAAAACTCTGGAGCCCTCATTTATACAAAAGATAAGAGAGCAGGTAGCATGTCTACCGAAAATGGAACCCTCATACCCTGCTGCTGGGAATGTAAACTGGTGCTGCCATCTTGGAAAACAGTCTGGCAGTTCCTCAGATGGATAAACAAGAGTTACCACATGACCTGGCAATCCCACTCCTGGGTGTCCACCCAAGAGAAATGAAAGCATCTGTCCACACAAAAACTTACACAGTGTCCACAGCAGAATTACTCATACTGGCTAAAAAGTGGAAATAACCCAAAGGTCCATGAACTGATGAATGGATAAAGAAAATGTGGTACGTCCATACAATGGAATGTTATTCATCAGTAAAAGGGAATGAAGCACTGATATACACTATAATGTGGATGAACCCCGAAAATATCATGCTGAGTGAAAGAAGCCAGTCACAAAGGAACACATATCGTATGATTCCATTCATATGACATGTCCAGAATAGGCAAATCTATAGAGACAGAAAGTAGATTAGTAGTTGCCTAGAGCTGGGGGAATGGAGGGTTTGGTAGCTAAGAAGTGCAGGGTTTCTGTTTTGGTGTAACGAAAATGTTCTAAAATTGTGATGATAGATGCACAACTCTGAATACGCAAAAAGCTACTGAATTATACACGTTAAATAGGTGAATTGCATGGTACGTGATTATATCTCAATAAAGCATTTACCAAAAATAAGAAAGAAGGGAATAAAAAAGCCAGCCCAAGAGACAGGAGAGGATCAGAGGGCCCTGTTTCTCTCTCTCTCTTTCATTCATTCGTATCATTGAGTGTCCACTTCATGCTGGGCGGTAGGGTTACAGAAAAGACACAGGCCCTGCTTCTAAGGAGTTTTAATTTAAGCAGGCAATTGCATTGAGAACATTCAAGGACCTGCAAGAAACACAGAATGGGGAAGCCAGAGCCAGACATAAAGGTGGGTGTTGACTGAGTCATGGTGGGAGAGCAAGGCTGGAACTTCCGCTAAAATAGGCTATGTCTTTGATTTAGGCCATAGGGAGCTCTGGAAGGTTTTTGTCTGTTTTTTGCTAAGGAAGATTCACCCTGAGCTAACATCTGTGCCAATCTTCTTCCTTTTTGTATGTGGGTTGCCACCACAGCATGGCCACCGACGAG